GATGAAAGACGAAATGTTTCTACATTTTTTTTGTTTTGCTTTGTTTTTTGAATGTCCAGAGGACCAGATTGAACTTTTTTAGATTAATTTTTAAGTTGTTAATTAGGTACTTGTCTTTGAAATCCTGCAAAACTTGTGCATTTGTTTATAAATGTTTTTGTGAATGTTCAATTATTTTTACATATGAAGTTTAAATGATCAATTCAGGTTTTTTTTTTTTTTTGCTCAGTACAATGTCTACTCTCAGCAGCTAACAAAAATCTCACTTATCAGTAAAATTAACAATTGATAGAATTGAGTTTAACTCGTTGGTCCATCCCTCTGCAACAGTCCCAGCCCCTTTTGTAAAAAGAAGTTGCCCATCCTTGCATTAAATCAACACCATAATGTGCAAATGTTGCCCCTTTATTGCCAAACAAGATGGCTCTTTAACAAAGTTTTGGAACAAATTTTAATTTAATCCACAATTTTTCCATTTTGTTTGAAACTTTAACCTGTGAAAGACATAGCAACATTTACGGCAAAGTATCTGTCAGAATCTCAGCTATGCAGCAAGAAAAAGTCCCGCTTTCTCCAAGAGTGTCAACACGTCAGATGTTTTCTGGTAACAAGTATATTTTCAGTGTGTATATTTGGCATTGTGAGTGCACTGACCGCCTGCATGTCGTTCATGTCCCTCTGTAATTTGATGATGGTGCTGTTAAATTTCTGCCTCTCTGCTTTCAGCTCCAGCTGCAGCTTCCTGTTCTCCTTCTCCTTCTTGTGCACCTCGGAGTCGATGCCTCGATGGCCTCCTCGCACCGACTCTTTCCTGTTCATCACCTCAGCAAGCTTGTTCACTGCCTGAGAGAAAAACAGCACCAAAAAAAAAAAAGTTTCCTTTATGGTAAATATAAACTCGGTAAAAAAAGATAAGATAAGCCTGCAGAAATCAATGCTGCAGCAAAAATAAACGTTTTATACATGCTTTCTGATGCTCAGAGTTCAATAAAAGCCTGCAGCAGAACATCATTCTTAACCATAGATGTAGCTAAAATGTTGCCTTTAAAAGTAAGACAGTATATTAGAGTGTTCAGAGCTGTTCATGTGTGCACACCTGAATTTTGAGCGTTCTTTCATATTGCAGCTGCTTTTCAAATGACATGTGCACAGAATTCAACTGCTTCTCTTCTTCCTTGGCTTTTTGAAGCTCTGCAAACACATCAAACACGAACATCAAAATAACAAAATAAAACATGTTTTTCTATTCAGGCTTTCTTGAAATAATCCAAAATCTATGAGACAAATGTGAAGCTATCTTACTGATGACATAAAAAAAGTAAAAAAAAGTAAAAAAAAACAACTGTTGCTACTTCTGATGAGCATTCTTCTCCTGTTTCTCGTGGACATCCAGGACAGCTTTTGAACACACTTTCCAGGGATCAAATGAAATGTTGCTTCTGAAGAAAGTGACCGTGTTCCGTGCTCATTAATTTCAAATGACACTCACCTTGCTGCAGTCCTTTCAGCTTGTTGTTCAGCTCTTCCTTCTCACTGGCCAGGTTGGCTACGTCCGTCGTCAGAGTGCGGTTAGACTCTTCCAGCTGGAGGGAGAGACGGGGTGACATTTGTCATGAATCATCCTTGCTATGAAGGATTAAGCTTTTGATGGGAGCTCCTGTTTGAGAATTTATGTTGTGAATTATTTTATTAAATTATGGATGAGAACATCTTTCTGTAATGTGCACAAAACAATCCGTCTCGGCCTGAAGGCCAGCTCGCCAACTCGCAGCGCCTCGCTGGTGTTGACGCCATGAGATCATGCCCAAAACATTCTCTTATCTCCAGCTGGAGGTCGACTAGCTGACAGCCATGGACCTGACTGCAGCTGGCTATGAGGGAATGCCTGATGGACCTTGCTGCTGTATAAAAGTATAAAAGTCTACAGGTAACTCTGTTTGAGGCTCATTCAGTAACATGATCCCTGCATTGTATATCTGTAGTCTGTTTTCAATGAGTCCTTGCAAGTAAAAGACTGGTTAAAAATCTGCTTGTGTCCTCTATTTGAGTAAGCAGATGATGAAAGGATTTTTATTTTACCCAACAGTTCCATTATACTCAATTTTGACCTCAAAGCAGTGATAAAACTATTTTTTTAAATGTATACCTGGCATCCATCATCCTTCCTTCCATCCATCTGTCAACTTCCCCTCAGTTATCTGTGGTCGGGTTGTGGAAGCAGCAGGTTCTGGAGGGAAACTCAGACATTTCTATCCCCAGCAACACTTTTTAGTTAGAGGGGATTGGGGGAATCCCAAGGTGTTCCTAGGCCTGACAAGTTACGTATTGTAATCTCTCCAGTAAGTTCTGGGTCTATCAGGGTATTCTTTCAGTGGAATGTGGCCAGAAAACCTTTAGAGGGAGGCACCCAGGAGGCATCCTTCTTAGAAACCTCAGCTGACTTCAATTGATGCAGAGGAGCAGCAGCTCTACTCAGAGTTTTCCCCAATTGATGGATCTCTGCAGAATCGCTGCCCGATCTGGTGGGACGGTTTGAGTACCCCTGTTTCTCTGAGTGATATGAAGTCTGAGGCCTTTGTCCTTGGTAGAGTCTTCCATGACAAACTGGCAAGAAGTCCGACTCAGAGATTTGAACATCTTGTGATGAAAGAGGTCCATACAGGATACATCACCCAAACTAAGAAAACCAGGACACTTTCCTGTAGTCGGAGGGAGTTCGCTGGAGAGTACCTGGTGGTTGAGTACTTGGGGCTCGGCTGAGCCAAACCAAAAATAACAGGAAGACACCTCTTTGTGAGGCCACCCCCTGAATTGAGAGCCGTCAGATCGGATGCAATGCAAGCCGGGTGGACAGGGCCCTAAGGCGTGCGTATTCCTGGCATTATAAACTGGCTCCACGTACTTGGCATCAACTTTACTATGTTTGTTTTATTGACTTGAATGAAGATAGTTAGTGTAACATTGAAAATCATATTTTCTTTGTATTTGTTAAATAGTTTTTGTTTTTTCCTCAACTTGTTTTTTTACTCACTCTAATAATAAGTGCTGATATCTAATATCAGGAGCTTTTACTGCCAGTTTACTCAGGCAAAAATAATATTTCTAATTCAACTATGTAAAAATGACCTTTAACGGTTGAATCCTCTTTGTGTCCTTACTTTGCAAAGACTAAAACTGACTCCATGTGACGTGATCTCACCGAGCTGATGGTGGCGTCCTTCTCTCCGAGCTCCTGTTTGTGTCTCGCCAGCATGTCTTTGATCTCCAGTTCCTTCATGATCTTTTCCTTCTCCAGAAGGGAGTACTGCTCCTCGATAACTGACCGAGCCAGCTGCTCCGAATCCGCTTTGGTCAAACTGCTCTCCAGCTGAGCTGCCATAGAATCCCTGTGCGGGTAAAGAAAGCCCGGATTGTGCATATCTTATAAACTGCAGGAGCAGGATGAGTCTTTGAACAGCAATAAATCAGGGTCATCAATATGCCAGTTAAAAAGCCTCTGGCTACAGTGAGACAACAATAAGTTGGTGACATTTCTGACATTGAGAGACTTTGCAAGTAAGTGAGGAACCGAGCCAGCATCCGACAATAAACATTTGTACATCAGGGACATCAGCTAATTTGGTTTCACTTCAGAAATTGTATTGAAAGTCAAGTCCTGCCACAAGGGCACAACTACCACTAATCTGAAAGTGTGTTATTTTCTCAAACACATGGATAATTCAAACGTTGTTTTATTCTTTAAGTCATTGCAGCTTCATTGTAACTATAAATATTTTTCAACATGCTAACTACTATCGCTTTGCTTTCATCATCTAATTGAGTAAACACATTTTGAATCTTAACCTATAGCGTTCGTATTGCCCATCACTTTCATGCCAGTGTTTTAGACTGAGAGCATCTTATGTTGACAAATGACAAGGAGTTGTAGCTGTTTTGGTCAAATATTAAAATAACAAGTTATGTGCAATTTGATGCAATATTGCAAGGTGTCAAGTACACGTTGTTAAAGACTGTCAGCTACTACCACATCAAATTTTACTTCAGTATCTGAAAGTTAACTGAATTATAGCTATTATTGTGTTTTCTAAGGTCAGTTGTCTGTGGTTGACATCTTAAATTGAGTTAGCTCTAAAAGTTAATCCAATATTTATTTCCTGAAGGTTTAATTAAAATCCATTCAGTGGTTAATGAGATATTTTGCTAACAGACAGACAAAAATTGCCTCTAAATAGTTGACAGAAACATGTTCAACAAAAGGTGTACAATCTGTTAGCACTCCTAACGTATGTTGAGGATCGTCATAATTACTACCTCACCCAGCTTTAAACTAATATCTCTAAATATGACTGAGCTCCAGCCACTTGGGGGATTTGAAGGCTATGTGGCTGTGGTGGCCATCTTGAATAAAGTTGACTCCAAACACTGAATCTTTGTAGATTTTCGTCCAATGATTACTTTCAGAAAGTTTTAATCAAATTCCATCCATTGGTTCATGGGATATTGTGACAATAGACACATACACTGCAAAAACATAATCGTCCATCTTTGCTTTTTGGCGGTGGGTGATAAATATACGGGCAGCCACAGTTACCTTTCTTCACTGTATTCTGCCAGTCGCTGCCGCAGCTCTTTAACCAGCTTGTTCTTCTCATCGCACTCAGCTTTCAGCTCACGGCCCTGAGTTTTATAAAGGGTCTTAAAAAAACAAACGGAGCAAGATTTAAACCTTTTATCACTCATTAATAGATTAATTCTTGATAGTAATACAAGTATGGTGCAGATCTGTGAGATATTTTGCGGATCGTAAATGGTAGCTGCTGTAGACTTAAAATATTTGGCTGTCACTCCTGTTTGACAGAAACGCATAAAAAAAAATTAAAAAAAAGAGTTACTGTGAAATACTGCTCTGCCTCCAGCTGGTCCTTCAGTTCCTTCAGCTGGCCATCAGCCTCCTGCTTTTCCCTGAAACAGAACCAGAAATCTGTCAGTCACTGCTGAAGGCCAACTGAGCACCAAATCCAAAGCAGCCCCCCCAAATTTACAAAAACGATTACAAAATATTGCTGCTCAGTGTTTAGATGAACATGGATTTTTAAATGTTAGTGAGTCTGACCTGCGCAGCTCCTGGTTGTGTTTCTCCAGGCTCTGCTTTATGTCCAGCAGCTGGTTGAGCTCCTGCTTGAGCTGCTTCTCCGAGGTGCTGAGCACAGACACCTGCTTCTGCTGCATCTTCAGTTCGCTCTGGGTCAAACTTCGCTTGTGGATCTCGTCATCCAGACGAAACGTAAGGCTTTTAACCTGCGTGCATAGGCATGCATGACAGATGGTTAACATTACAGAGAACAACCTTTACTCTGTAATAAAAAGCTGCATTTTTTTGTATTTCATAAAACGTTTGCAGTCAATAAAATGTTGTGTATACAGTCTAATTCTTGTCACAGAATCTTGTGTAATTTTATGCCCATTTATTTAATTTCAAAACCATGAATTAAAATCAAGTACTTTCTAGTTTAAATAACTAAACGACTACATGCATTTTATGTGCTGTTGGTCTTAAAAAGCTTTTGGACAGTTTATATAAACTTTAATAATTAAACACTAAGCATTTAAGGATTTAATGCTAGAGTTAGCTTATAGTGAAAATGGATGCTTTGGCAATTTTGGTCAACTTTCGTAAGGTTATGCACAAGCTCATGCAAACTGCAAAATCTTGCAAGATCTGTTAGTGCTTGGAGTATGTAGTGAGAATGACTCAGATACTACCACACCAAGCTTTAGTTCAATATTACTAAATCCAACTAAGCTATAGATATGTTTGTGTTGCCATAATTAAATTAGTTAATTTGTTGAACATGTACGTCATTATGAATTTCATTAAAATCTGTCCAGTTCATGAGGAATTTGGCTGAAATGACAGATTGACAGAACACACACACATGAGCAAAGACTTTTTTTTTTTTTTTTTTGCCTTTGGGCCATAATGATTAAAAGGCACCTCTTCATGAAGTTTCTCCTTCTGCGCCTGCAGTTCGTCCAGCTTGTGCTGCTCTTGCTTGTAGTCACAGTCCAGCATCGAGTGTTCCTTCTCCAGCTGCAGCAGCTTAGCCTCCACCTGCAGCTTCAAGCTGCGCTCCTCCTGCAGGGTGCTCTCCATCTCTGAAACAGAGGACAGCAATAAAAAAAACAAATAAGCAAGGAAAACAAAAACAAAAAAACAGAAACATTCTATATGGAAAAGAAATTTAAGGATCAGTAAAATACCCAAAAGCTCCAGTCACATTGTTAAACAACAGAAAAAAAACGAAAAAAAAAAGTCAAAAGTTCAAAGTAAATGTACCTTTTAATGAAGCTGAACATAAAAATGAGGTAAATCTAAAAGAAGCAAAAAAAACAAAACTAAACAAAAAACATTACCGGTAGCTAAAAGGAGAAAATGCTAAGTTAAAAGTATTAAAACGTTAGCTAAAAGATAATTATAGCAAAATGCTAGCAAAATGTTTAAATGATCGCCAAAAGGTAAAGCAAGACAAATGCTAGCTAAAAGCTAAAATGAGCAAACCATTAGCTAAAAGCTTAAAGCAGCAATAAGCTAGCTAAAATGTAAACAAAGCAAAATGCTAGTAAAATGTTTAAATGAAAGCTAAAAGTAAAACAAGACAAATGCTAACTAAAAGCTAAAATGAGCAAAACATTAGCTAAAAGCTTAAAGCACAACTACGCTAGCTAAAATGTAAACATAGCAAAATGTTATTTAAAAGGCAAAAGTAGCAAAATATTTAAATGCTAAAAATCACATGTTAGCTAAAAGAGGCAAAATGCTAGTTGAAATGTAAAAACCAAAATGCTACCATAAAGCTAAAAAAGGCAAAACAATAAGTATAAAAATACTAGCTAAAAACAATAAAAGTAATAAAACACTAACTACAAGTAGCAAACCCCCAACCAAATGTAAAACTAGCAAAGCGCTTTATTAGAAGCTAACAGTAGAAAAATGCTGGCTAGATGCTAAAAGTAACAAAATACTAATTAAAAGTACCAAAATACTAGCTAAAAGCTAAAAGTGGCATAAGATAGTGGAAGAAGAAGTATGATAAAGTAGATTAAAATATATATTTAGAAGTAATTAGCGATCTTAATATTTTCTTTAGGACTTTGATTTTTAAATAAATGTAATTTTTTTTTAAGCATGAAAATAAACAATCCACAAAGTTGAATAATTAAAATAGCACAACGTATGTAGACGTAGTTACATAACAAAGAAGGCATGAAAGAAAAGTCAGAGTAAAGAGAAGTAGGATCAAAGCTGTGCTAGTGTGAATGCTGGATCAACATTTTCACAACTAAAACACTGATTACCAGTTATTTAAGTTGATCAGAGCAAAATTTGGTCTTAGCTACTGTTTTTTTTTTTTCACCAGTTTTTAGATGTTTAGATCTTCTGTTCTCTTGCTCACCTTTCAAGGCTGCAGATTTTTCCTCCTCGATGGACTGATAGATTGTGTTTTTGTCAGCGAGCTTTGCTTTAGTGGACTTGTGTTCTGCCTCTTCCTGCTCCAGACTCTGCTGGAGGGACTTCAGCTTGAACGTCAGATCGATCTCTTGGTTGTTTTTTCCCTGCAGTCAAACAAACGACAGTAATAAACAGAACACATTACTCCTTTCATACTTACTATATCATGACATTATGGCATATTTATTTGTTAGAAATTAGAAAAACCTTTTCGAGATCGTTGAGTTTCCCCTGCAGCTCCTCCTTTTCAGTTTGGACTTTGGACAGAGCAGATTTTCCCTCCTTCAGCTCGTCCTGCAGACTAGAAATTTGTCCTAATGTGGAGGAAATAGAATAATGGAAATAAATCATTGCAAATTGTTGAATGATTTGTAATATCAGGCTGAATGTGATGCAACTGTCTCAAGGCCAACATGCAGCAAATTAAATATATGCTGCTAAATAAACTCCTTATTTTTAGACATTACATAATGCTCCAGTTCACGTTTGGCCTTAAATATGCAAAAACACACCACACTTGATGTTTATTTTTCTTTTTCCCTGCATCCACCCACAAGGAGGCTTTGACTGGTAAAAAAAAAAAAAACACGATGGGGCATCAGAGCAAACAGGTAACACTTTGTTTCAATACATTTCCCCCCTCAGACCTCAGTGGATGGCCTCTTTGTGGGAACGGAGCATATTTAAGTTTTAAAAGTGAGTCTCAAAAGACATTCTGGCTCTTGCTTGGATTTTACTACCTCTTGCTTCACTCTCAGCCTGCGTCCACCACGTATGATCACATATTTCCCAAGGCTGAGTCCAAAACACGATTCAGTTCTTCTAACACTCTGTTCTGTCTCAAACTCAAAGTTGAGTAATACATTTTTTTCCCTGCAATTAAGATGTTTACTGCAGTGGTTTGTGAGGAATTCACAAAGATCAATCTTACTACCCATTTTGGCTTTCTCTAATTGGTTGTTTAAGATTTAACTCGTATTTAAGCTTTGTGAAGTTTATTCATGACACACTGGTCTGTTTTTTCTGATATTATACATTTGCATCTTTTTGAGACTATCTGGTCCATTCCAATACTTGCTTGTGTCAAAGCCTAACGGAGTTGCCGTGTCTCACCCTGCAGGTCTGTAATCGTTTCTGTCCCGTAGTTTCGGTCCCTTCTCGCCTCCTCCAGCTCAGCCTGCAGCTCCCTCAGCTGCTTCTCCTGCTCCATCTTGCTGTTGTTCAGCTGGTTGTATTTTTCCTCCGTCTCCCTGAGGCTAACTTCGAGGCTCTGTGTTTGTTTCTGAGCCTCGGCCTGACACTTCTTCAGCCGCGACGCCACTTCCTGCTCGTTCTGATGCATGGCGTTGGCCTCTTCGAGCTACATGCAACAAGACAAGACATAGTCAGACCGTTTTCCACTAACAGGCACAAACACACATGTTCAATGCAGAGTAGAGAATGTAATTAAGACATTTTGACCTTATAGTTATAAATCTCAAACTAAGCACAAAATTACAATTTTCAAGAAATACAGGATTAATGATAAAGGATTTCTTGAATATCTTGAGCAAGATTATTTCACTAGTAATATCAAATACAGTTTCAGAATGGATGATCAGAGAAGTCAAGTGAGAATAAAAATAAATAAAAAAAATCACTGTAATGCAACTTTGGTGATGTGTGCTGCTGATTATCCATGCTGCTAATTTCATGCTGCTCATTATTTCATGCTGCTATATTCATTCGTACTCATCTGCTCACACAGACTCAAGTTCATGCTGCTGTTGTTCGGCGTATTGTTTTGCACCATTAGTATTTAGCGGATTTCTTAGTTTATATCTTAGCTCCGTATTCACCGTTTCTTTTTATACTATATATTTTTGCTATTGTTGGATGTAACTGGAACCTTGTGTACACAATTTCGTTCCACCTCATGCATCCCATGTGATGTGAATGGAAATAAAAACCTACTTGAACTTGAAGTGTCACTGCTTTTAAAAAGCTTCTGAGTCAGGGACAAGTCTATGCCCTGAACTTCTCGGCTGGAGGAATTCAAATAACTGGGACTCTTGCTTATTAGTGATGACAGGATGGAGCGGGAGATGGTTCAACATCGACTGATCAGGGCCTCATCCGTGGGAATGAGGGCTGTTTTTTTGTGGTGAAGAAGACGAGCCGGAAGGAAAAGCTCTTCATTACCTGGTCCTTCTACCTTTCAACTCTCACTTATGGTCATATATAGTAGATCGTATAGATCTTCCTCTGTAGGGTGACCTGCCTCAGCCTTAGAGATAAAGTGAGGAGCTTGGAGTAGAGTCGCTGCTCTTATGTATCAAAAAGAGTCAGCTGAGGTGGTTCACACATTTGATCAGGATGCTTTCTGATCGCCTCCCTTTAGAGGTTTTCTGATAACGCCCCACTGGGAGGAGAGCCTGGGGCAGAAACAGAGCTCACCTGAGGAAATATGCCCTTTGGTCTGAGAACATATTAGGATCCCACAGGACGAACTGGAGAGAGGGAGGTATGGGCACCCATCCTGGATCCTTGCCTCTGTGACTTGACCATGGATAAGTGGCAGAAAAAGTGTATTTTTCATCTTGTTTAGTAGGGATTTTCCAACTACAAAAATGTTTCAAGTTCATTGAGATTCCAAGTTTGGTTTGGTTTGCTTTTGTTGCCATTTTGGAGGTATATACACAGATCCCCCCCCCCCCCCCCAATAGTTTAAGAATGACAAAGGCAAAACCTCAGATCTCAGTCTTTTCAGGTACTCCACCAGTACTTTTTGTGGCTGCTAAAATGAATATTATTTACCTGAACGTATTTTTCCCTCTCTCTGTGAAATGTTTATTCATATCCGGAGGCTAAAAGCTTCCATGTTTTTCTCATACATTTGCTTAGCTGGTGTTTTGATTGCCTTTCTAGAAACTCCACAAGCAAATTTCCAAGAAAGATTTCTTTCCTTTTTTAGACCTCGACTTGTCCTCCAATACTCTGGTTAACTGGTGCTGCTTATCTTCTAGACAACCAAAATAAGCACCAACATGATTAGCTTTTGTTGTTATCCGTTTATAACCTCTTTCAGCAGAGCATCATTTCATTTTTCAAAAAGCTGAAGTTTGAAGTTTCCATCACCTTACCCTCCCTAATGTTGATTGAGTCCTAACAAGTTATTTAAGTTCTGTGACGTAGGTAAAACTACCAATATATATTTACTTGAGTTTGTTACAGCTTGCATGTATAGTGCCTTTTTCCTTCTTTTGTTCTAAATATATTCAGGATGAAAAGTAAGAATTTTTTCTTTAATCTTCCTTAAAATATCACAAAGACATGAGTCATGTCTGACTTCAGAGCTTCTGCAAATCAAACTATCCATGGTAACAGTAAGGTTGATGTCAGAAGCTCAAACTCTTGGCTGACATGGACAACAAAGCCACTGTGACATTTAACAGCTCCCTCCTCACCTGTTTCTGAAGCTGCATGTTCTTCTCATTAGACTGCTGGTTTCTCTTTTTCAAATCCTCCAGCTGGTCCCTCAGGTTGTTCACTGACGAGCAGGCACACAGTCATAAAAAGATAGTTCAAGTTGTTTTTGACATAGCATATTTAATAAACAGCGGCATGGCGATTAGTGCTGTTGTCTTTCAGCAGGAAGGTCACAGTGTTGCCTCCCAGTCTGGGGACTCCTGGGTGGAGTTCGCATATTTTCCCTGTTCACACATAGGTTTTCACAGAGTATTCTGGTTTCTTCCCACAGACCAAAAACATGCATGTTATGTCCATTGGTAACTAACGTCTCGCACAGTGACTGCTGGAGATAGGCACCAGGTCCTCGCCAACCGGTAAGGGGAAGTGGGTGAAGAAATTAAGAGCCTCTTTGGTACAGTAACACTCATTTGATGTTCTAAGAAATAAATGTTCATCTAAACAACAAAGTCCATGCTCAATAATCCAGGTATACAATCCAACATTTTTCAGTCAGGTCATCTGGACAGTTTCTTTTTTTTTTTGGTCCTGAAACGTTTCACCTTCCATCCGAAAGACTTAATCAGTCAAGGAAACACACAACACAAAGCTGATTCATCCCCCAAACAGCTTACTCTAAAGTGGAACAAACCAGTTATGTTGGTGCCAAGATGGTCCATTGTGAGGTTTGACACCAAACTGTGTTTGAAGGTACTTATATGAACATTTTTTTGCTCCATCAATCTAATCAACAATTTGCTATAAAGGTTACTGGTATAATTCATTTATAACATAGCCCTTGATGACTAAACATTGTAAATAAAACATTTTTTTTATTTTTTTTTACACTTAAAGTAATTTCTTTAAAATATTGGGAGTTTCTGAGTTTAACAAAAAATACTGTGACAATCTGAGGTGGATGCTCACATTCATTCTCCAAGATGCGCTTTCTGTCCACTTCGATATCGGCTTTGCGGACACTCTCTGTACTCTGATGCTGCAGCAGCGCTCGCTCTCGCTCCAGCTGCCTCAGCGAGGCCTCCACTTTCTGCCTGCTGTTCATCTGATGCAGGAGGGATTCACAAGCAGAGTGAGCAGAAACAAACTTTGACATGTTTGTAACATCCTCCCAGCCTTCAGAGTGTTCTTACCTCTTTGTCCAGTTCTTTGACCAGCTTGTCTAAACGGTTGGTAGCATTTCTGCAGAGAAACAAATTATTATAACAATTTTATTGCAATTTATCACATTATAAGATCTTTTTTTATACCAACCCTGTTTTAAAGACAGCTAAACATTTTATTTTACTTTCCAAATAAAAAAAATATATATATTTTTTAGGATAGACCAGATGATTATCAATGCAAAAAACTCATTTTTTATTTATTAACTCGTTTAATTTTTTTAAATTTCAGTTTTTTATGTCCATCTTTATTATAATGTCAAAGCATGATGATGGAGTTTAGTGTGTGTGTGTGTGTGTTCATACTTGCACTTTTGCTCCAGATCATCTTTGGCCTGCATTTCATTATCTAGCTGTTCCTCCAGCTGATTAATCTTCTTCTGCAGCTGCTCCAAAGGATGAACAAAAGACCAGAGCATAAAAAAATACTCTTAAAAAAACCCTCAACATGCTTTCTGTTGTCTTATTGCTCTCGTTTTTTGCAATAACACTTTGCACACCGAGACACCGACCTCTTTCTGATCGTCCAACGAGATCTGCTTGTCTTTAGAGATTTCCGTACAGTTGTTCAAATCCTCCACTGAGCTGCTGCTAATTCCTTTCAGCAACCTGGGAGAGAAAGCAGCAGGGGAGAGTCGTGAATGTCCAAACAAGTGTCGTCAATCAGCCAAAACATTAGGAGTTCAAAAAAGTTCAAGACAAAAACAACTGGACTTTATTTTTGTAACAGAAGATGTTTCGCTTCTCATCCGAGGAGCTTTCTCAATTCAAAGAACAGAGTGTGGGGTTCGAGTTACAAAGCTGAGGTAAGCTAGACACATATGCAGACTGCCCTATCACTCCTCACAGTAGGGGTTTGATAGAGGAGTGAGCAAGAAAGCTCATTCTGTAACAGCAAATGTTTTTTTTTTTGAATGTCCAGAGGACCAGACAACTTTTTTTTATATTTATCTACCTGGATTATTGAGCATGCATCGGGATAGCATAACGTTCTGCTTAGAAAACCTGCACTCTATTATTTGAATGCTACTTTGACACTTTGCAGACAAATCAACCCCCCACAATCGTCTGCAATCCCCTACAGTAGCAACAACTCTCCCAGCAAGAACGCAGTGAACCCTGCAAAAAACACTCGGTAAGGGTCTGAGGTGTTGATTCAGCCTCCAAACTACTTAAATGTCAACCCAGAGGGATCGGATGGCATCTGCCCAATCCAGAGAGACCCCAGCCCAAAATCCATGATCCCTGTGCCAGGAAACCCTCAGATGTTCCTTCACCAAACCCTGGCTTTTCTGAGCTGATATTGTAGCTGAGTGGTGGATGTTCCAATAACCAGATGAACAGCACCTACTGAGTTTTTACAAAGAGCAAAACGTTCATCTAAATACTAGTTTATGATACAACAGCCACCACTGTGATATGTGAAAAACTCACAACGATAAATATACGGTAACTATACTGACTAGTACCCATCTGACTGGGTTTACTGCACTTAAATTATCTGAAACACAACTAAATATAAAAAAGACACACAATGACCAAATAAATAGCAACAATTCGTCTAAACATCTCCACAACATTTCAGAAAACATTAAATTAAACCAAATATATGCACAAAATAGACTCATAAAACTAAAAAGCCAATATTTCAGAGAACACAACATTAACCATGAAGTGTTTCACAAAACACATTTCTTGTACGTTTGGAAAATGAATGAAAATATTAAAATTGCTTCTGTAAAAACGGCTCCCATAAAGAAGCTTCGAGCTCTGTGGTCATTATACAGACATGAAGCTGAGCCGTTTATTGGTTTCCAGAGAGCTTTCTTTGTTGCATTTTTAAAATATGGTTGTATAAAGTTGTTGTGAGGTTTGAGATTTTTCCAAACATAAACTATGATGACCCTAAGGTGATATCAAAACCATTCAACTTTAAAAAGGACATGTTGTGAGGTCCAACTCTGTTTTCTTTTGTACCCCTCTAAACATTTTGTGGTTAAGATTTTGGAAAGCAGGTCTGACATTAAGGGGGCCCTCAATAAGATCTATATACTGCTCAGTTCATACCATGAGACCAGTTTGGACTCCTTTAAACTGAAATGGGAACAGACCTGGAGGAATCCATATCAGACTCGATCTGGAGAAGGATCATTCAGAACATGTATTCATCCTCAATCTGTCTGAGACATGCTGTAATTCAATTCAAGGTGGTGCACAGGCTGCACTGGTCCAAAGACAAGATGTCCATGATCAAAGCTGACCTGGACCCTGCATGTAATCATTATAAACAAACTCCAGCTACACTCCTGCATACATTCTGGACCTGTTCCAAACTGCAGACCTTTTGGCAATCTATTTTTGACACCTTCTCTGGGATTTGTGGCAAAACTGTACACCCATCACTATTCATCTCACTGTTCAGGGTGGTCCCTGTGGACACGTCCTTCAGCAAGTACGAGAAGGATGTGATTGCTTTTGGGTCTCTCCTGGCCAGAAGACTGGTTTAGTGCAATTGGAAGGACCCACACCCCCCAGCATATGTACATTGGATGAGAGAGGTGATGTATCACATCCATCTAGAAAAAATAAGATGTACTCTGAAGAGTTCTGTTAAAAGATTTTGGGACATGTAGGAGCCTTTTATGTTGTATGTGGAAAATTTGTCAATGCCTGTGTGATTCATTTTAATTCAATTATGCATGTGTGACTGATTTGATGTGGGAGGGAAGAGGTGGGAGGTTTTTTGTTTATGTTATTTGTGTTTTATATGTTCAAAATGAAAAAAATAATTGAAAAAAGGATGCTTGAAAAAAAAAAACTTCCAAAAAGTGTGGAAATATACTTAGTAAACACAAAAGCATGGAAAAATATTACAATCATACAAATAATGTGTTTTGTACACTGACCATATAAATGGTCACATTGAATTGAAGTGTGACTTCATGTGTAAGTTTACAAGCAAAATTCACACACTTTCAGGAACTTTGACACCGGATTGCCGTGCCAGGTTTAAGTAATCTATCTGCTTATTGTTTTGACATAGCCTGATGTTTGACAAATTAATAACGACCATTTGCTTGAACAAACATAAACTTTTAAGATTTCTAAATACAGCTATATAGAAAAGAAGACGGTGTCTAGTGTGCAGAAACAGCAGAACTACAGTGTCCTTCTCCTCATCTTTAGGCACAGTTGTGTCTCTAGCTCTATAAATATATAATATAAATATGAACCAAGCACTATTACCAAATAAAAAAATAAAAATGCAAACATGAATCAGAAAACTGACTAAAACAAACACATAATGAGAATAAAGGACTTACTGGTCTTCTTTGAAATAGGTGAAGCCAATAAAAGGTAGCTGGTTGCCCACAAAGGCTTTGGGTGGAGGAAAGGTCTCCGCATCGCCTTTTTCCACCTCGACGTCGTCAAAATTACTTGTGTCTATGTCACTGTGAAGCTCCGGCACAACTGGGGCCACAGCTGGAAATCAGAAACAGAGAGGGAGACGATGATGAAGAGGTGTTATTTATATAAAAATATGTCTCCTGTCCTGCAGGTATTTAAATCTAAAACCCGTTCTCAAAAACTTTTCAGCGCTGAATATGTTTTGACCAGTTTGACTGCCAGCTTTGGCTCTGCTTGCAGTAAGTTTTCTACAGGTTGGCGTGAGCTTGACACCACTCCTTTTCCCACACAGTGCTCGCTTTGTGCCCCACACACAGTTGCCTTTCACAAATGAAGCCTAACCACACCAGCAGATTGCTCCTTCTGCTCTCTTTTCATAAGAGCAAGCACACTAAAAAAACTGCACAACATGTGGACAAAAAGTCTGTAAAGGGGCCAATCAGATAAAACTAAGCTAGTCTTTTAGTCTATAAAAAGATCCCAATTAAGAATAAAAAGCAGCCATTATGGATTGAGCTGCTCAGGCCAGTGTGATTCTGGCTTTGAGCAAAGAGCTCATTACTTTTAGGTTAAGACTCGGTGTGACAAATCTGACCCGCAGATGGCAGACAAAATACAGAGAGACATCCAAACAAACGGAGGGGGAGTCAAAGAGGAGAAACTGAAAAAAGAAAAACCAACGTGTGGTGAGACAGAGCGAGAGAGACATGGATGCCCTTGTGGCTTGACTTCCCAGAATGCTCTTTGATAGAGGGAGGCTAATGACAGGCGGCCATGGCCACAGTGAGAGTGAAAGAGCGAGAGAAAACCTACGAATTGGGGCGCCTCTCTCATTACATGAGGCCGCAAAGGGCTGCCCCGCCTGTCGCTGCGGGAGATGGGACTACCAGTTCAATCAACCATCCATCCATACATCCATCCATCAATCCATCCTCTATCCATCCATCTAGCCATCCTCTATCCATTCATCTAGCCAGCCATCCATCCATTCGTCATCCATCCATCCATCATCCATCCATTCATCATCCATCCTCCATCAATCCATGCTCTATCCATCCATCCTCCATCCATCCATATCCATCCATCAATCCATGCTCTATCCATCATCTATCCTTCCATCCTTCCATCCATCAATCCATCCTCCATCCATCCATCCATCCATCCATCCATCCTCTATCCATCCATCAATCCATTCTCTATCCATCTATCATCATCCATCCACCAATCCATTCAGTCATCCATCCATCATCCATCCATCAATCCATTCAGTCATCCATCCATCATCCATCCACCAATCCATTCAGTCATCCATCCATCATCCATCCACCAATCCATTCAGTCATCCATCCATCCATCTATCCACCAATCCATCCATCCATCCATCCATGATGCTCCCTCCCACTCTTTGCTCTTAACCAACTTAATGTTGAAAAACATGAAAACTACCACAAACATATTTTTAACATCACTCTGCAAGATGCAAGAAATGGAGCAAGTTCATGGTTTGGAGTGTGTGTGTGACTGTATGTGTGTGTGTGTGGGTGTGCGCGTGCATGTGCAAACATGAGGAGAACAGAAGCACAGCAGTGGTTTCATGTTCCAGACTGCCAGGCTCTGGATCGAAGTCCGGTCTCTCATTCTAATCAGAGCCAGGTGAAGCGGAGAGAAGTTGAGGTAAATAAAAAGAGCCTGAATGAAATCATATTCAAATACAAAGGTCCTTTTCATATTCTTAGTGCAGCCCCTGTTCTTATTTTCCAACCTTTTTTCTGCTTCTTCTTATTTCCTTCCTGTGGAAATGACTGATGAAGGCGTATGTGATACACATGCAAAATATTCAGCACTGAATGAAGAGCAAGAGTTCTATTAACTATGATTAAATGTAGGTTTTAAATCTGTTTTTTATTTTAATAAAACATGTGCGTGTTCAGTAACTCAGTTTGGACTGTTATATACGGCTTGCATTTTTAAATATTGCACTAAATGTTCAAATTTTATGTTTTCCTGAAAAAAAGAGTCAGGAAAGTAAAGATATGCACAATTTCATGGATTAAAACAAAATCTCAAGCTCAGAAAGTGACTCTTAGCTGCTATCTTGTCACATTTTATCTCAATAACTGTAAAACTGACTGAGTTATAGCCATTTTTGTCATAGCTTAAGGTCAAGTTAGCTGTGGTGGCCATCTTGAATTGGATTGGCTTCAAAAGTATCAATTGTAGTTGTTTATGCAGATATTTTCTGACAGTTTTTAATTTGTCCAGTGGTTCACCAGTTATTTGGCTAACAAAAAAAAATGTTGATTTCAACACCTAATGCTAAAGTTTTAAGCACAAATCTTGCAAAATATGTAGCACTTGGAGTATGAGCTGGGAAGGACTCTCAGCTACTACAATACCAGATTTTAGCAGAATATCAGTAAAAATGACTTAATTACAGCCATTTTTGCATTTTCTGTGGTCAGGTGGCTGTGACAGCCATCTTGACACAAAAGGTTAATCAGTTAGATGAGATGAGATACATCTAATGATTATGTTTTGCAAATTTAATTACCACTCATCCAGGGATTCATGAGATTTTTTGGCAAAGCAAACAAACTCTGGCAAAAACACTTTTGCTTGTTGAAAGCAGGTGATAAGTTAATCATGAAAAAATATCTTATAAAGTTAAATGATATGCTAGGTGTATCACAACTCTTGATTTAATAAGCTAGAAACAATCTACTAAATGAGATATTGTTCTAAAATGCTATGACTGGTGCTGTCATCATTACACCTTATAACATAGATAGAATGCTAAAATTATACAGTATTTAAAAAATAATTTAAGTAGCCACAATTTAAAACGTATTTACTACTTTAAATAAAAAAAATACAAAACCCTGTTTCATGAAGGAAAAAAAGCAATAAATTAATTGATTTTGTATCATATTCAGTAAATTAAATATTTTAAATGTTTAGTAGACAATGTTGGCGTTAACATTTTTCATTGTTTTCTTCTTTTTGGAAACATGGTTGAATTTTGGAGCCCTTCTAGTGTTCCTGCTGTAAAACCTTGAAGAAATGTTACTTTTTATCCACAATAAACAACCTGCACACAACTTTTACACAGTTATTGGTGGAGCAGAACTAAACTTGGCAACTGAACTTTACTCTGCAAGAAGTTTTGATTGCATGAAAAGACTGTGATTTAGCTTGAAACCATGCTATTGGAGATAAATTCACGTTATTGGTTTTCCAACTTTATTTGTGTAGCATGTTATCTCCTGCTCAGCAAAGCCTCCTGTCTTATGTCAGATATGAGTGGCAAGCATATGGGGAACACGTGGAGCAGATTTGAAGGCTCACTGGTGCAGGAGCTGAAAATAAACTGGAATATTAGACTAAAGAAAAACAGATCTGCAGAGGAATGAGCTGGAGATGATAAGACGCACATTACCAAAGATGGAAAAGAAGGAATCAGCAACTGCACTGAGTGGTGGCTTTACAAAAAAGCACAACATTTTTAAAAAGCATGTGCGTGCACACTTACTGTCACGGATGTTGTCAAAAGTCCACTGGTCGCTCTTGAAGAAGGGGTGATGTTTGATCTCATCCACACCGGTGCGGCCCAGTCGAACCGTCCTGCACACAGTGGAGGCAGAGAGACTGAGAGTGGAGTCACCAAAACACACACTCTTCTCCACGCACCATCACAAACATGTCATCCCCAAACACGCAAGTGGAATAACTGCTCTGCGCTGACCACACTGACCAGCGTGGAGAGCTGCTGCTGCTGCAAAGGACCTCTATTCAGTCACACCAAAACACAGAGGCAACAATCAGTAACCCCGACTCAAAGCGTCTGAGCCTTGTTGCCCCTTTTCTCCCCCTCTACATCTGGGTACAAGGCTGGAGAGGGGTGTGGCAGTTTGGGGCTTGCCACGTGTGGGATATTCCAAATCTAGCCAGAAGAAGAGATGGCAGTGGTGGGAAGGATAGAAGAGAAGGAAGAGGTTTTAAGACCCCAGCAAGAAAAATAAAATGAACGTACAAGCCTGAAAAATACATCTCAATGTTCAGACCACTAAAAGAGAGCAAGAAGAGCAGGACAGCTCTGTAGGAAATACTAATAAATTAAAACAGACTGAAAACAGAAAATATCACAAATTACGAGATTAAAAAATATGACAGGAAACCACAAGTATTCCAAAAGAGGAGGCGGTTATGCTTAAACGAGGAGACATGGTAAAATGTGAAGACAATGACAGAACATGTGGGTAAAATGAATGCAGTCAGCGTGTGTGTGGTGGGGGTGGGGGTGGGGGGGTGCTTGGCTGCTGTACACAGGTCAGACTCTGAGGTGAGAGAATGGAGGAGTGAGAAGGTAAATAAACAGAAAGAGGAAAAATGAAAGGCTCCTCTGTACAGAGGCAGAAAGGGAGCTCTGGGCACTCTTAGGGGAGGGGTCACTAATGTAAACAGGAAGTGGTCTCTTCCACTGGAAATGGGGCGTCAGCCACCCACCAGTTCATCCAACTTCTACCTTTAAAACCAATGTGACAACAAAGATTCAAACTGTATTTTGAAGTGAAGTGTGCCATAACTTTGGAAATACAGATATTGTTTGTTTTTTTTTAGCAAAGAAGTGAACTAATTAGGTGTCCTTTTAAAAGAAAAACTCAGCTGATAATATCTATCTATCTATCTATCTATCTATCTATCTATCTATCTATCTATCTATCTATCTATCTATCTGTCTGTCTGTCTGTCTGTCTGTCTGTCTGTCTGTCTGTCTGTCTGTCTGTCTGTATATATATATATATA